CTTATTACTTGGTAATACAGGTTGAGTGTCCTTTATTTGGATTTTTGCAATCCAATATATATGCATATATAATATATATGCGCAAATGCATACATCCACACCCACACAACATGCAAGGTGGGTCTCCAGTTTAGCCACTTTGAGTCTCCTTTGAGGAGAGAAAAAGCAGGGTGTAAATAAACATCATTATTATTATTATTATTATTATTATTATTATTATTATTATAATATTAAAACACCTCCAATGAATAGTTGTCACCACTTTCCAAGGAAGCTGCTTTCACTCTCAAATACACTTAAGCAATTGGTGTAGATGACTTGTAATGTATCTACACTTGACCATTTAATGCAGTTTCAAACCAGTGCTGTGTCTTCGCTGTGCAAATATAGGAAATCCTCGAAAAGACCCGGATAGGGATTGCACAAACTACAAAGCGCTGGCGTGCATTAAGGGATTTGTTTCCATGCTTTTATGGCTGTTTGTTGTCTGGCCGCCGCAGTCTGAAGCTAGATTAAATAGTCAAGTGTAGATGGGGCCTAAGTCTCCGTAAAGCCAAGGGAATTGACTTCTGAGCAAACCCACTCCGACCCACATTGCTCGAGAGAGACTCCAGTCCTAGCGCTGTTTGTGCAAACAAGAAACGTCCGCTGTGTAAAAAGGGGTGTGAGTGTGCAAGGGGTGGGGAAGCCCACGAGAGCATTGTGCAACAGCTGTGCAAAGGGAATGATTCCCATTTTGAAACAGAGGCTGGATGGCCATCTGTCGGGACGGTTTAGATTATGTCTCAATGCAAGACATAGGCTTTGAAATAGAGGCTGGATGGTCATCTGTCGGGATGGTTTTGATTGTGTCTCAATGGAAGTCATAGGCTTTGAAGCAGAGGCTGGGTGGTCATCTGTCGGGACAGTTTTGATTGTGGCTCAATGAAAGACATAGGCTTTGGATGGTCATCTGTCGGGACGGTTTCGATTGCGTCTGAATGCAAGACATAGGCTTTGAAACAGAAGCTGAATGGCCATCTGTCAAGATGGTTGTGACTGTGGCTCAATGCAAGACACAGGCTTTGAAACAGAGGCTGGATGGTCATCTGTCGGGACGGTTTCAATTGTGTCTGAATGCAAGAAATAGGCTTTGAAACAGAGGGTGATCATCTGTCAAGATGGTTGTGATTGTGTCTGAATACAAAGCATCAGCTTTGAAACAGTGGCTGAATGGCCATCTGTCAGGACGGTTTCGATTGTGTGTGAATGCAAGACATTGGCTTTGAAACAGAGGCTGAATGGCCATCTGTCAGGATGGTTTCGATTGTGTGTGAATGCAAGACATCAGCTTTGAAACAGTGGCTGAATGGCCATCTGTTGGGATGGTTTCGATTGTGTCTGAATACAAAGCATCAGCTTTGAAACAGTGGCTGAATGGCCATCTGTCAGGACGGTTTCGATTGTGTGTGAATGCAAGACATCGGCTTTGAAACAGAGGCTGAATGGCCATCTGTCGGGATGGTTTTGATTGTGTCTCAATGCAAGGCATAGGCTTTGAAACAGGCTGGATGGCCATCTGTCAGGACGGTTTTGATAGTGTCTTAATGGATGGCATAGGCTTTGAAACAGGCTGATGGCCATCTGTCGGGATGGTTTTGATTGTGCCGTAATGCATGACAGAAAGGGTTGGACTGGGTGGGCTCTGGGCTCCCTTCCAACTTTATATTCCACTATAGTGCCTTGGAGTCCAATTAACTCTTTAATCTGAGGATGGGTGGCCATCTGCCGGGAGGGCTTTGATTGTGCCGTCCTTCCTGGCAGAATGGGGTTAGACTGGATGGCTTTTGGGAGCCCCTTTCAAGTCTAACTGGAGTGTAGTTAAGCCTCTTTCTTTAGAGGTTTTCAAATATAGGCTGAATAGATTATATTTTCCTAATTCGCAGGGAAAGGGGGTTGGACTGGATGGCCTTTGGAGGTCCCCTTCCAACTCTAATGTGACTCCAATTGGGATTATTGCAGTCTCTCAAACACAAGAAATAAGGCTGGTGGGTGAAAGTTTCCAATCCACCCATAATGGGGGTGGAAAACACGTGTCCACGCGTCCACACAGACACGAGTGGGTCAGGAAAGGGAAAAGGGGGAGGAAGGAAAGAGGAAAAAAAGGGGGGGGGAGTCAGGAGACAGCCGGAAGTGGAGCCACGACACGAGTGGGCGGTGCCTCTTCTTCTGTGGACAGGGGGAGGCGTGGCAAACACGCGTGGATGGCCACGCAGCCATCATTCCACCCAATGCAGAGTTAGAAAGGGGTCCCCCAGAGGCCATCAAGCCCAACCCCCTTCTCCCACAGAGCAAAACACAAAACGATCGCATTGGCCTCTTTTAGCTGCTGCACCACACTCTTGGCTCAGGTTCAGCATCACATTTCGAGCAAGACACTAACCTTCCTATGGATGCAGCCTAGAATGGCATTGGCCCTTTAAGCTGCAGCATCACAGCGTTAGCTCAGGTTCAGCTTGAGGTCTGCTCTAAGATCCCTTGAAATAACATAGAACAACTCCCCTTTCGATGGAGACAAGACAACTTCCCCTTCGATGGAGACAAGAGTAGAAAGGCATTGGCTTTTTATGCTGCTGCATCACACTGTGGGCTCAGGGTTGGGATTGGGAAGGGCACCCAGTGCATTGCAATTGGCAAAAGTTAGCTGGGGGGGGGGGGGCTCACACGAAATGCAATCCAAAAGTAAATACAATTGTAATGTAATGCACTATGTCTTGCACTATGCAAAAGCCCACCCAAAACTATCATCCTATTGGATTAGTCCCCCCCCCCATATACAAAAACTATATTGCAATGCAATTGCATAAACAAATGCAATACAATTGCAATGCAATGCATGCTCTTCCCAAACAGGGGGTCTTACATTATGCCAAAGCCCACCCAAAACTATAAAGATGCACTCATCCTTTTGGATTATTCCCACCACACACAAAAATACATTGCAATGCAATTGCAATCAGTACAATTCAATTGCAAATACAAATGCAATGCAATTGCAATGCATGCACTTTCCAAACAGAGGGTCTTGCACTATGCAAAAGCCCACCCAAAACTATCATCCCATCGGATTAGTCCCCCCCATACAAAAAATACATTGCAATGCAATTCAATTGCAAATACAATGCAATTGATAGTCTTTCCACAGAGAAGGTCTTGCACTATACAAAAGCCCACCCAAAACTACCATCCTATAGGATTAGTCCCCCACATACAAAAAAAAAATACATTGCAATGCAACTGCAATGCATTACATGCTGTTTCCAAAGAGGGTCTTGCACTATGCAAAAGCCCACCCAAAACTATCATCCTATCGGATTAGTCCCCCACATACAAAAAATACATTGCAATGCAATACAGTTGCAAATACAAATGCAATGCTATTGCAATGCATTGCATGCTCTTTCCAAAGAGAGGGTCTTGCACTACGCAAAAGCCCACCCAAAACTATCATCCTACTGGATTACTCCCCCCACATACAAAAAAATACATTGCAATGCAACTGCAATGCATTGCATGCTCTTTCCAGATGGTCTTGCACCATGCAAAAGCCCACCCAAAACTATCATCCTATCAGATTAGTCCCGCCATACAAAAAAATACATAGCAATGCAATTGTAAATATAAGTGCAATGCTATTGCAATGCATTGCATGCTCTTTCCAGAGAGAGGGTCTTGCACTATGCAAAAGCCCACCCAAAACTATCATCCTATTGGATTACTCCCCCCACATACAAAAAACACATTGCAATGCAAACTGCAATGCATTGCATGCTCTTTCCAAAGAGAGGGTCTTGTACTATGCAAAAGTCCACCCAAAATTATCATTCTATGTCTTGCACTATGTCTTGCACTATGCAAAAGCCCACCCAAAACTATCATCCTATTGGATTACTCCCCCCACATACAAAAAACACATTGCAATGCAAACTGCAATGCATTGCATGCTCTTTCCAAAGAGAGGGTCTTGTACTATGCAAAAGTCCACCCAAAATTATCATTCTATGTCTTGCACTATGTCTTGCACTATGCAAAAGCCCACCCAAAACTATCATCCTATTGGATTAGTCCCCCGACATACAAAAACGATATTGCAATGCAATGCAAATATAAGTGCAATGCGATTGCAATACATTGCGTGGTCTTCCCAAAGAGAGGGTCTTGTAGTATGCAAAAGCCCACCCAAAACTATCATCCTATTGGATTAGTCCCGTCCCGCCCCCACACACACATACAAAAAATACATTGCAATGCAATTGCAAAAACAAATGCAACGCTATTGCAATGCATTGCATGGTCTTTCCAAAGAGAGGGTCTTGTACCATGCAAAAGCCCACCCAAAACTATCATCCTATTGGATTACTCCCCCCACATACAAAAAATACATTGCAATGCAATGCAATTGCAAATACAAATGCAATGCTATTGCAATGCAAAGCTATTGCAATGCATTGCATGGTCTTTCCAAAGAGAGGGTCTTGCACTATGCAAAAGCCCACCCAAAACTATCATCCTATTGGATTACTCCCCCACATACAAAAAAATACATTGCAATGCAATGCAATTGCAAATATAAATGCAACGCTATTGCAATGCAATGCGTGCTCTTTCCAAAGAGAGGGTCTTACATTACGCCAAAGCCCACACAAAACTATAAAGATACGGTCATCCTATTGGATTATTCCCCCCCCCCCATAAAAATTGCAAAGAAATTGCAAAGCAAGCCCTAAAAGAGCAAGCAAAGGCGACCCAACCCCCTTTGGGATGGCGCGCAAAACCCGCGCAGGCTCCTTGTGCACCCCCAAAGGGCTTCTTTGCACCCCCAGCTTGCAAGGGAAGGGTCTGCATTTGCCCAAAGGACGACCCCCACCCCCTCCCTCCTTCATCTTTTGCCTTCCTCCCTTGGAGGCACTCCCCCGCTTGCTTGCTTGCTTGCTTGCTTGCTTGCTTGCTTGCTTGCTTACCTCCCTCCGCCGCTGGCCAGCTTGGCTCCCTCCTTCCCTCCTTCCTTCCTTCCTTCCCTCGCCAAGCTTGTTTTGAAATTCCCCTTCCAGGGCCCTCCCCCTCCTCCTCCTCCGCCCTCCCTCCCCCCTCCCCTCCCCTCCCCTGTCCCCGGCATCAGCCTGCCTCACGTACGCGGTGCCATCCAAAACCCGGAGTGGATCCTCAACTCAGAACGGGAGCCTAGACAGAAAGCAAAGAGATAGAGACATGGGAAGGTCGCTCCTAGCATCAATGCAGGGAAGGCCAGAGCATCACAAACCAGACAACCATACATCATGGAATTATAGGACCCTAGAGTTGGAAAGGGGGCCCCCAGAGGTCATCCAGTCCAACCCCCTTCTGGCACACCCCCCTCCACCAGATTTCCAAGCCATCTATTTTATTATTATTTGAAACACAACAACATCACTCTGCTGGCTGTTGTATTGGATCACACGTCGGACACTTCCCAAGTGTCTAGGACTGTGTGATGTGTCGGTGAATCATGCGCGCAGATCCACGTAGGGTGGGCTTTTACAGTTGACAAGTGGTAATTTTGTCAGCACTGATTGTTTTTAAGTCCAGGCCAAGGTCTTTAGGCACCGCACCCAACAAGCATTACATTTTTAATGTATTGTCGAAGGCTTTCATGGCCGGAATCACTGGGTTGTTCTAGGTTTTTTCGTACTAAGGGCCATGTTCTAGAGGCATTTCTCCTGACGTTTCGCCTGCATCTATGGCAAGCATCCTCAGAGGTAGTGAGGTTTGTTGGAATTAGGACAATGGGTTTATATATCTGTGGAATGGCTGGGGTGGGGCAAGGAGCTCTTCCCTGCTGGAGTTAGGTGCGAATGTTTCAACTGACCACCTTCATTAGCATTTAAAGGCCTGGCTGAGCCTGGGAAAATCCCCTGTTGAGAGGTGTTAAGATGTGCCTGGTTGTTTCCTCTCTGTTGTTTATCTGTTGTAATTTTAGAGTTTTTTTAATACTGGTAGCCAGATTTTGTTCATTTTCATGGTCCTCCTTTCTGTTGAAATTGTCCACATGCTTGTGGATTTCAATGGCTTCTCTGTGTAGTCTGATATGGTAGCTGTGAGAGTGGTCCAGCATTTCTGTGTTCTCAAATAATATGCTGTGCCCCAGGTTGGTTCATCAGGTGCTCTGCTATGGCTGACTTCTCTGGTTGAAGTAGTCTGCAGTGCCTTTCATGTTCCTTGATTCTTGTTTGGGCAATGCTGCGTTTGGTGGTCCCTATGTAGAATTGTCCACAACTGCATGGTATACGGTAGATTCCTGCAGAAGTGAGAGGATCCCTCTTGTTTGCTGATATGTATATGTGTGTGCATGTGTATATGGATATATGTATGTGTAAGTATGTGTGTATATGTGTGTATTTGTGCATATGTGTGTGTGTATGAATGTGTGCATGCGCATATGTATATGCATATGTTGTAATGTATATATTTTTTGGCTTTTTAAGTCTCTTCTGCTGTGTTTTTCAGTGTTTTTATGAGTGATGGTCAATCGTTGGCCTGATAGGTGTCTTGTGTCCAAATTTTGTGTCAATTCGCCCAGTGGTTTTTGAATTATGTTAATCCCACAGACTAACATTACATTTTTATTTATATAGGTTGTCTAGCCTGCCATAACTTGTTGCGGTGGCCCAGTCTGGTGATCTAGAAAATAAAGTAATTAGAAAGTGTTGGTTTCTAATATATGTAATATCTTTATGCTTGTGGGTAAACAATATTTCTTGCTGTTTCTTTGTCAGTGTTGATGTGGAGATTGTCTGGTTTGCCTACTCTGGAACATGAAACATATAATTGTCCTTCTTTGGGGGTCCCTTTCAAATCTATGACACTATATCTCTCTCTGTGTGTGAATCATATATATCTATCTATATTTATGACTGGATGGCCCTTTGTCAGGAGGGTTCTGATTAATTATTCTTGCCCTGGTGAAGAGAGTTGGACTGGATGGCCTTAAGTATTTTCTGTTGGTCATGGTGGTGAGAAATTTGCCCCAATTCTGTCATTTGTGGGGTTCAGAATACTCTTTGATTGTAGGTGAACTATAAATCCCAGTAACTACAACTCCCAAATGTCAAGGTCTATTTCCCCAAACTCCATCTGTGTTCATATTTGGGCATATGGAATATTTGTGCCAAGTTTGGTCCAGATCCATCATTGTTTGAGTCCACGGTACTCTCTGGATGTAGGTGAACTGAAACTCCCAAACTCAAGGTCAATGCCCACCAAACCCTTCTGATGTTTTCTGTTGGTCGTGGGAGTCTTGTTTGCTACGTTTGGTTCAATTCCATCATTGGTGGAGTTCAGAAAAGTTTTTTTTTTTTAGTGATGGTCACTCCTTGCGTTATTAGATGTCTTGTGTCCAAATTTGGTGTAAATTCCTCCAACGGTTTTTGAGTTATGTTAATTCCAAAAACGAACATCACCAGGTTGCAGTCATAGGTCCAGCTACCTGGCAATCATCATTAGAATCTTTAGACCCGCCCTTTTCCCCAGGGTTTTGGAGGGAAAGGAGGACTTTGTTCAGTCTCACTGTTGGAAGCCTAACAGAAGGACGTGTGGGTCTCTCTCTCCCACCTGCACAAAGGCTTCATTTCTCGCAGCTTTGCTGGGGGGAAAGGAAAGGTTCTGCAGCTTTTGCTGGGGAATACAGCACAGCCTTTGCTGGAGCAACAGGACAGTTCCACAGCTTTGCTGGGGGGAAAAGGAAAGGATCCACAGCTTTTGCTGGGGGTTAAAGAAATAGATCCACAGCTCTGCTGAGGAGTAAAGAAATAGTTCCTACAGTCTTCGTGGAGAAACTAAAGGACACCTTTCAGCTTGGCAGATCTACAGGAACCTTGCCTGGTAAGGGACCACTCGGGCTATCCATAAAGCATCTTGGAGCCGGGAGTAGGGGCCTCACGCCAGCAAGGTAAAGAGAGATTGCCCAGGGAGGGGTCAAAGGATTTCCCTAAGGAAGAAAGGAACAGTTTACCACCAGTTGCCTGCCCCTTGTTGGCAGATTGAGGAAGCTACCGGTTTTCCAAGGTTATAAAGTGTTTAATTCATTTGTTTGAAGATTTAAGCCCAAATAAAGAACTCGGACATGAGAAGAGCTGCAAGACCAAGAACAAGCCATGAGAGTAAAGATGAAGATCCACTCCGAGGAAAAGTGTTCTTGCCATACATCAAGGGAACCACTGACCGCATAGGGAAGCTGATGAGGAAACACAACATACAAACCATCTACAAACCCACCAAGAAAATCCAACAAATGCTACGTTCAGCAAAGGACAAGAGGGATCCTCTCACCTCTGCAGGAGTCTACCGTATACCATGCAGCTGTGGACAAGTCTACAGAGGGACCACCAAACGCAGCATTGCCCAGACACGAATCAAGGAACATGAAAGGCACTGCAGACTACTTCAACCAGAGAAGTCAGCCATAGCAGAGCACCTGATGAACCAGCCTGGACACAGCATATTATTTGAGAACACAGAAATGCTGGACCACTCTCACAACCACCATGTCAGACTACACAGAGAAGCCATTGAAATCCACAAGCATGTGGACAATTTCAACAGAAAGGAAGAGACCATGAAAATGAACAAAATCTGGCTACCAGTATTAAACAAACTCTAAAATTACAACAGCAAAACAGCAGAGAGGAAACAAGCAGGCACATCTTAACACCTCTCAACAAAAGATTTTCCCAGGCTCAGGCAGGCCTTCAAATGCTAATGAAGGTGGTCAGTTGAAACATTCACACCTAGCTCCAGCAGACAAGAGTTCTTTGTCCCACCCAGGTCATTCCACAGATATATAAACCCATTTTCCTAGTTCCAACAGACCTCACTACCTCTGAGGATGCTTGCCATAGATGCAGGCGAAACGTCAAGAGAAATGCCTCTAGAACATGGCCCTATAGCCCGAAAAAACCCACAAGAACCTAGTGATTCCAGCCATGAAAGCCTTTGACAAAACTTTGTTGAACTTATCTCGAGCCTCAATTGAACTCTGTGTTGGGAAATCTAAGGGGCCCTTCAGCTGAGGCACCCCGGCGTCCCGTTGGGCATACAGAGAGCATGTCCTGTAAACAGACATTATTTCAGGCCCAGCGTGAGACAGCACAGGCAACGTAGAAGGAGTCACAGTCATATGATGCATTGAACTGGAGTTGTAGTTTTACAGAATCTGTAGCCTTCTCTGCCCGGGAGTGCTGGTGCTTCACCAAACAAGAATGGAGCCATGGTAAGTTAAAGTAGTATCAAACTGCTTTCATTCTGTAATGTAGACACACCTTGTGATTACTTTTCAAGGCAGTGCTCTCGCCCTGAAGTTCCTCCCTGTAGTGAAGCCCAGCCTTGTGATTTAAAAACACTACTCAACAACTTGGAGTGGGTCACAACCAGAGGATTTCTTCAAATCTTTTTCCCATTCTGTGGCACCTCAGAAACTCTTCCTTTAACGGGGGAAACTTCACTGAAAACAGACGTTTTGGAGTAATTTGTGCTGATTAATACCCCTAAACACAAGCCTCCAAGTTTAGCTTGTGATCTTGCAACTATCGGAGAGCATGCCAGCCCATGTTGCAGGCGGACAATAGCCAAGACTTGGAATGACAAGGGTGGAAAAATCAAGGAGGAAAGCGGAAAAACAGGGTGACGGTTGAGTATGAAGAAAACAAAAACAATAACCACAAGGAAGATTTACAAAACTCTGAAGAAGGAGGAGGAGGAGACATTGAAACAGTTCAAGATTTTTCCATACTTGGGCTCTGTCATCCAAAGAAGACTATAAGACTTGGAAAGGCAGGCATGAAGACACGAGACAAGATCCCGACATGTTTAAAATCCTCCAGAGAAGGAGACTCCACTGGACTCCAAGGCAGTGTATTCCGTGAAACTCTCTCTCAAAGTCAAAATGACTACACAAAAGTTATCATACTTTGGAAAGTATGGCGCCATGAGCCGTTGCAAACAGCTCGTGCCCATTGGATATAGAGCAGTGCTTCTCAACCTGTGGGTCCCCAGGTGTTCTGGCC